GATAGATAGATAGATAGATAAATAGATAGATAGATAGATAGATAGATAGATAGATAGATAGATAGATAGATAGATAGATAGATAGATAGATAAATCATGGCGTTTTGACTTCATCTATGCAATCTATAATATTCTTCTATTGCTACAATCAATTATTCTGAAAGCTGTTTGTCGTAACAGACTTGATTGTATCATCAAAGTAACAATAATATGTGCTTATGCAACGTGGTGAAATCAGGCGCTCGTCAAAATAACTAAATCGGAGAAACAGGCATTTTCCCGCCAGTTTGGAAATTTGTATCTAATTTGTATTATTTGGCTTATCCTCTTTTACGTCCATATAGAAACACATTTCCATGTGGATTTTACTGAAAAACATCGATTAAGGGTGCAAAATGTCATTTTTCAGTTTAAAAAGACTCTTTGGCGATTTGTAGTTACAAAACTTTGCCGGCTATTTTCTCGCTATTTCACCAATGAAACCGGGCGACCTCATTTCCTTCAAATGTAGATAATATCTTGAGTTCAATTCAAGATAAATAGATATTTATTTCATAGGAAGCAAGGTAATTAAATCCGCTTTCATATGGTACCAATAACTCCAAATGTCCAAAAATTGACCACCGCCTGATTTCACCGCGTCGTGACACAATAATCACTTGTATTATGATCATTGCAAAGAGTGGGCGGGCGTGGGATGAAAGCCGTGCATACAGCAGGCTTGTCTTTGCGCGAGTGGCGACTGCTCTTTGCCTAATGGAAGTGTTGTGTTGGGTGGATTGTTACATCCACTATTTCCCGGGGAATTATGTTGTTTCACTTCATGTTCTTTTGTGTAATGTTATGTTTTTTAATGTGTATATTTTTTTCGTGTTTTGTTCGTGTTTTTTGTGTTTTTTAAAATTATAATTGTTTTCATTTCTTTTTGTTACGAAAATAAACTTAATTCTTCCACTTTTATCACCTTTTCGAGCCAACTCTCTCTCTCTCTCTCTCTCTCTCTCTCTCTCTCTCTCTCTCTCTCTCTCTTCCCCCTCCTCTCCTGCCTATCTCTCTCTATCTCTCTCTCCCTCTCGCTCTCTCTCTATCTCGCTCTCTCTCTTTCTCTCTCTCTCTCTCTATCTCGCTCTCTCTCTGTCTATCTCTCTCTCTCTCTCTCTCTCTCTCTCTGTCTCTCTCTCTCTCCGTTCATTCTCTATACTTCCAGCGACTATACTTTACAAAGCTTTCCTCTCTAGAAAGCAAAAGCATTAATTAGTGAAGCGAAGACATATCTTTCATGAATCCTGATAGGCCTTGAAAGTTTCGGGGTATCTGGTTCCTGGATATTTCAGAGACTTCCTTTATGAAGTTTTCCTTCTGGATATAATTGGGGAGGGCATCAACTTATTCAACATGTTCTGCTGTTTTTGTTTTTGTTTTTATTTTTGTTTTGCATTTTGGTTTTGTTTAATTTGTTGCCGTTGCCGTTGTTGTTGTTGTTGTTTTTATTAAGGGTTGGGTTTGGGGGGTGGGGCGTTGGGAGGGGGAAGACGGTCTTTTTTTGGAGAGGGTGGGGTCGTTGTCGCAAAAGATTTATTGTTGTAAACGCTGATTACATTTTTTTTCAATTTCAATTATTGTGTCCTGTAGAGTCTGTAGTCTTGTGGCTATGTTACTGGACTCGCAATCGTGAGCCTGTCGCCGTTTTGTGAGTTCGAAGCTTAGCTCGACCCGACGTTATATCCTTCGGAAATGCACCTTTTAGTTTTAATAAGAGTTTCACGGCACTTGCAACACAATAAGGTCATAAACATAACTGCCAAAGAATAGAGGTGTTACAAGAGAGTAACTTATACAAAAAAGAAGAAGGAGAAATAAAAACGATAGATGTTTGATAGGAAAGAAGGAGCAAACCACACCAGGGCACCCGCCAGCCACTCACAATATTCACTTTACACGAGTTTCCCTCGTTTCATCCAGGTGAATGGGTACGCGGCCATAGACAGCGAAAAAATGTTGTCAGTATGTCAGTGATTTAGTGCCTGTAGAATGGCAGCTTGCACTGTATGTTTCCCATCAAGTTAACATTGTTTCAGAATGCCTTCAGGTCTGTGTGTGTGTGTGTGTAATGATGAACACGGTTGTAAAAATTTTCCCTCAATGTGTATGCCTTTTATTAGTATTAGCATCTTAACGCATGGTGTAATAGCCTGCTATCCAAAACAATCGCATTAACAAACGGACTCGTAATTATTTTTGATGGTATAATTGTGTTTCAACTGCCTTTAAGCTCTTACTAAAATTAATTAAGATAATTCTGACCCCTGTAAACGATTAATCGACTAACATACTGACCTCTGTAAACGATTAATCGACTAACATACTGACCTCTGTAAACAATTAATCGACTAACATACTGACCTCTGTAAACAATTAATCGACTAACATACTGACCCCTGTAATCAATTAATCGACTAACATACTGACCTCTGTAAACAATTAATCGACTAACATACTGACCTCTGTAAACGATTAATCGACTAACATACTGACCTCTGTAAACGATTAATCGACTAACATACTGACCTCTGAAAACAGTTATTCAAGTAAGATAATATTGACCTTCGTGACCTCTATGACCCCTGTGAACTCTGTGACCTCTGCAGGCGTCTGGCAAAGTTCATCCTGGTACTCATCCCTCTGTTCGGCGTGTTCTACATTGCACTCACTCTGGCCATGCCCATGGGGTACGCCAACCGGTTCAACCTGGTGCACATGTACGTGGAAATGACGTATAACTCATTCCAGGTAAGGTTAACGGTTGTTTGTTTTAGTAAGCTTTTACGGCGCTCGTAACTCCATAAGGTCATGTGAGCGCCAACTCCAGGTACGGTTAACGGTTGTTTGTTTTAGTAAGCTTTTACGGCGCTCGTAACTCCATAAGGTCATATGAGCGCCAATTTCAGGTAGGTTCAAAGGTTGTTTGTTTTAGTAACGTTTTACGGCGCTCGTAACTCATCATCATCCGGTGCCTTGCCGACTGGCGTGGGCGATCATGGACCTCCACTTCACTCTGTCTTGCGTTGCAGCAATGGTGTCTGTTGTTCTTGCTGTTCCCAGCCATGTTGTCATCTTGTCCAGTATCTTTTCCCCCTGTCAGCCTCTGCCTCTCTTTCCATCAAACTAGCCAGTAGTTACAATATTCTCCAATGCTTCTTTCCACATTGTGTGTCCGAAGAAATTTGCCTGTCGATTTCTTATATTCGTCATAAGTTGTCTTCTGCAATTTGCTTCGTAACTGCATCAGGTCATATGAGCGCCAATTCCAGGTCGGTTTGTAATGCTTGTATTATTAGAATTTAGCGAGATAGTTTGTGTTAGCTTTTTTCTCTGGTTATCTACTTTGTTTTATGCCCTTGTGACGCGTTTCGGGAGGGTGGGGAGCCATTTTGGGTGGTGG